ATAATTAATATAGCCTCCTGTGTGTTTATTTGGGACTCATGCGGATCTAGAACCAGGCTGGCGCGGCAGAGCCCAGGCGACTGGCAAGGGATAAACCAAAGCGGATAGCAAAAGAAAAAGTTTCTCTTAACAAGGGGCCTCAGTGATTTCCCCCTGGGTACCCAGAAGTAGACTTTTGACCCTTCTCTGGACAATTGACTTGTTGCTTAGGGAATCTTCAACTGGAATTGGGGGGGGGGAGAGCAAATCTTCCCTTGGTTAAGCGGGAGAACAGAGATGAGTTCATGGTTTCAGTGTGTGGATGAAGCCAGTCCAGAGGAAATAAAACAAAGTCATGCAGAAGGATGCAGAGGAGGGAGAGGGGAGAAGGGAAAAGAAAGAGGGGGGAGGGGGAGGGTGGGGGAGGAAAGCACATGCTGAGATTTTGAGTCTCTATGGTCCAGTGGAGTCATGCTCTTCCCAGTGGGTTTGTGAGTCTTCCAAGGGGGTCCTTCTTTTCTTTTTTAAATTACAAGCTAGTTTGGGTTGGATTACTGCCTTGTAATCAAGAACCCTGGTTTTCCTAGTGAGTAGAACTTCCAGAACTCGTTCTTTCTCTGTGTCCTGAATGTCATGAATGGAGTTTGTCCTCCACTGAGCCTGGTTGGTAATCCTAATCAATGCATTTGGCCGAAATTGCCTTCTTCCTACATTTGAGATGACAAAGAAGAGAGACAAGCCTTTGACAGCACAGAAGTGACTTCAAGGCTCTGATCACAGTGACTTCTGGCCACTGTTCAGAGTGTTACCTCGGTGTAGAAAACAGTGACTTGGACCTTTTATGTGTGATTGGAGAACAACTAAGTATAAATGAATTTGATGATGAATTTTAAAGACTGGTTCTAAATAAAATGTTATAAGAAAATATGTAATTAAGATCCTTCATTTCTTCCTTCTCTCCCCCTTCCTCTCTCCATTCCTCCCTCCCTCCTTCCTTCCTTTTTACACAAACTAGTCTGTAGCAAACTATCCTAGTTAGGAGACTATGCTCAAGGCTGGATTTGATTAAGACAAAGAAACACAAACAGAAAGTGTTTGGAAAGGAGGAAATAATGCAGTTAAGACTGCAAAGGGAAAGAAAACATACATGGGAGTGGGTGAAAAGCCCAGTGGTTAGCATGACCATCTCTCTGTGTCTGTGATGCTTCTTGTCCACAATGACCTGGAGAACAGAATACACAAGGCAGGAATTTCTCACGTGAAACAGCTCTTCATTTATTTGAACATTAGGGCAGCAGAGAAGCTAGATCCAGAAGATGGACCCAGCAGTTGGAAGGTAAGACTACATTCTGAACAAGCTGGACCAGGAGCTGGAGATATGTTTCAGTGGTTAAGAGCATTGACTGCTCTTCTAGAAGACCTGGGTTTGAGTCCTAGCACTTATGGCTGCTTACAGCTGTTTGTAACTTCAGTGTCAGGGGATCTGATGCCCTCTTCTGGACTCCCTGGGCACTGCACACATGAAGTCCACAGGCATACACAAAAACACACATACACATAAAATAAAAGCAAATAAATCTAAAGCAAAACAAAAAACCAAAACAACAACAAGCTTAAACCAAACACCAAGCAGACAACTCCTTGACTCTCTGGCTCTGGTCCTCCCTGAGAATGTTAAGGTCAACATAGAAGGTCTATGAGGGTGAAAGGCAAAGCAAGAATAGTGTGTGCGACTTTCTGGTGGGGCCTTAGGCAGCTTACACAAGGTGTGTCTTTTGGAAAAGCTGGGGATACTTTGTTAGTGCCCTTGATTCTCTGGGGAACACTACGTTTGCTGAGTCATGTTCAGTAGAGGAAATGCTTCTCTTACTTTCCATGACTGAGTTATCTCTGTCATCTGCTTTTAATTAAAAAAGAAAATACTTTTTCTTTCATCCCCCATCAAAACTCCTGCTCCTAGGCATGAGTTCAAATATAAAAATATCAGGAGGGCCCAGCTCAAGCTGAGGACACAGAAACCCTGGGAAGTGTGAATTGGAAGTTTTAGCTGGAAGCTTTGCTTGGGGCCTGTTGGTGTAACATCCATGTCACCAGGGTGGATTTGAGAACCCAGCTCCTGATGGTGTAACACAATGAGCTCATCCATGTCACCAGGGTGGATTTGAGAACCCAGCTCCAGGCCCTCAATGGACACTACCTGAGTTCTATGGGATGGAGAAAGAAAACACAGGAATGTGAGCCTTTGCTTATGAACAGCGGTAGAAAAAGCAGTGCCTCTGATGTGTCCTAAGGCAAGTCTTGGAGTTTTTGGCAGTTAGTATTTGGAGAGAGCTGCTCTGCCCCCAGCTCCCTGTAGGCAGGGACTGGCAGTACACCCTGGTGGGCTGAGGTTTGTCAGCAATTGTCATCCAAGATGCCCATGAAGATGTTTGAAAGAGCCGGAGAGAGTTGCTGAGATGACTGGAGAGGTGTGTCTTGATGGGCCAGGCATCTCAGAGGAATTTTGACCTATGTGACTAAATCTGTATGTCCATCTCCAAGTTGGAAAAGCAGGCTTACTGGCTGGTGTGCAGAACATCCCGATGGGAATGTCCGGATCAGGTAGCTACAAAGCAGCACCAGATGACGTCACAAATGTGTTGGGAAACTGCCAAACCAAACAGCTCCAACTCTCAGTGCACTCACATCGCTGGTACCAGATCCTCGGTTGTGTTCCACAGATGCTGGCAGGCTCTGCGTCACACTGTCACTTGGAAGCACATCTCCATAGAGGCCCCTCGGTCCAGTCGCTGCACGGTCTGGGGGAGCTGACTTTTGAGTTCCCCGAATTTCACAGGGCTCCCTTGTCATGCTTCCTCTTAGGAACTACTCCCTTCCCTGCACAGCCCACTGGCCAGAAGGCTTCACATAAGAAGGCCCCACACAGCTTTGCCTAGCTTCCTGGGACTAAATCTTGCAGTCTTCAGTGTGGTCCAGTCAACCAGACTCCACATGTCATGCAGCAGCATTGGAGGGACAGAAGGAAAATGGAGGACTGAATACATGCAGCTATGCAGAAGAGGTGGCAAGTTAGGGAAGCATCAGAATGTATATTTGCAAATCTGTATCTGGTGCCACTGAGTAACTGTGGATGGAACCCTGTGCCAAGTCCATGTGGGTTGTGTTACACAACAGTTGCAGGTCAGAGCCCCTCATGCTGCTTTGGAGATTGGAAAGAGTTTGCCATCTCCCATGGAGAGCAGACTGATGCTTCTCTGATGATGGCCTTTTCTGTACAAGGAGAAGAAGGAGAAGACAGTCTCAAAATTGAGAAAACCTTCCTCAGCTGCATAGACTGCTAACGACTGACATTTCCAGTCAAGATTTGGGTCTAAGAACTGGTGGGTACAGGCCTTGGCATTTTCTTATATAAACTCCCAGGTTACCTTAGGATAATCTGGGACAAATAGTCCAGAACTGCTGTGGTGGTTTGAAAGCAGATTACCCTTAAAGGGAGTGGCACCGTTAGGAGGTGTGGTCTTGCTGGAGGAAGTGTGTCACTGTGGGGATGGGCTTTGAGGTCTCCTATGCTCAAGCTGTGCCCAGTGTCACAGTTCACTTCCTGTTGCCTGTGGATAAAGATATAGAACTGTCAGCTCCTTCTCCAGCACCATGTCTGCCAGCACACTGCTATGCCCTACCACAATGATAATGGACTGAACCTCTGAAATTGTAAGCCACCTGAATTAAATGTTTTTCTTTATAAAAGGTGCTGTGGTAATGGTGTCTCTTCACAGCAATTGAAGCACTAACTAAGACAATTGCTTTTCAAATTGAATGATACCATTAGTTTGGACAAGAGTCAGATGTGATGGTTGTTTACCTGTAACCCCAACAATTTGGAGTCTGAAATAGAATTGTGGGTTTGAGGTCAGTCTGGACTACAAAGTAAATTCTAGGACAGCATGGGTTGAACAGCTAATCTCAACAAACAAACAACAACATACACACATACCACACACACAGCATACCCCCCCACTCACACATGCAGACAACACAAGTAGTTCAGACAAAATGTGTGTACCAAGGCACTTTGGCTTGACTCTTGCCCCAACATCTATTTTTCTCTGAGTTTGTTAGCAAGTTGTATTCTGGGTAATTAACTGAATAGAAATAATATTTCATAAAGGAGAGGTATACTTTCCTGTTATTGATTTGGGAAGTATTAAATGTCATCTCAGGGCTAACTGAACAAGCTCCAGTTCAAATGGAATGCTGGGGGATGTCCTTCTGTGTGTTGTGAATATATGTTTCTCTTATTGGTTGATGAATAAAGCTGTTTCGGTCAATGGACGGGCAGGATGTAGCCAGGCAGGAAATACAGGCAGGGCTACCAGAATTCTGGGAACAGGAGCACAGAGAGTGAGTTGCCAGTGAGACACCACATAGCTACCAGGAAGATAGGATACCCAGGCATTCTCTGATACGCCAAGGCCATGCGGAAATACATAGATTAATAGTTATGGGTTAATAATTAAGGGAGCGCTAGCCAATAAGAAGCTTGAGCCATAGGCCAAACAGTTTATGATTAATACAAGCCTCTGTGTGCTTATTTGGAACTGAAGGGCGGCGGAACTGGGCGGGTCAGAAACTTCTGTCATTAGTGAAAGAAGACTCAGCGAGGTGAGCAAAATTACTGGTGCTATTCATGCTCCCTTCTGCACAAAAGCACACTTGCAGGGCTGGGAACACCATTGCTGCTGGAGAAGCAGGGAGAGACCTTATCTGTTCCAGAACAGCTCATGACCACTGAGGTCACTGCAGGAAGCCAGAAGCTCATTTTAAGTAAAAATGAGATTACTAAAATAAAAAATAAACAACATGATAAAAAAACTAAATTTAACTATTGAAATTGTACAGCCATGCCAAGAATTCACTGACAGGCGACCAGCTGGTCCTTTGGAAGGTGCGGTGAATCAGTAGTGTTGTCTGTTCACCAGACAGAAGTCGGCAGCGGCTGTCGCCTCTCCCCAAGCTTCATCATGCCACCTAAGGATGACAAGAAGAAGACAGATGCTGGGAAGTTGGCAAAGGAAGACAAAGACCAAGTAAATAAGTCTGGTGCCCAGGCCAAAAAGAAGTGGTCCAAAGGCAAAGTCTGGGACAAGCTCAGCAATCGAGTCCTGTTTGACAAAGCTACATATGACAAGCTCTGTAAGGAAGTGCCCAATTATAAGCTTATTACTCCAGCTGTGGTCTCTGAGAGACTGAAGATTCGTGGTTCCTTGGCCAGGGCAGCCCTTCAGGAGCTATGTAGTAAAGGACTTACCAAGCTGGTTTCAAAGCATAGGGCTCAGGGAACTTACACCAGAAACTAAAAGGGTGGAGATGCCCCAGCTGCTGGTGATGATGCATAAACAGGTACAATTGGAAAAATAAAACTTTATTAAATAAATAAAAAACAACAACAAAAGTCAGGAGTCTAGGTCAGCAGGATTCCTATGTCAATACCTCGATGAACACCCGTGGAAGCTCAAATAGTGAATTTACAATGTGTGGGACACTTGTTCATGTGCATGCATTCATCTCTCCCCCCCCCTCTCTGTGTGTGTGTGGACGCGCGTGTGTGTTCACATGCACACATACACATGAGTACAAGTAATGAAGACTTGTTTTCAGGAAAAAGCGAAGCTACCTGGGGCTAAGTTACTCGGAGCGGGGGTTGCACATATGAAGTCAGGTGTGTCACACTGTGTACTACATCCTTCCCCAGCTTTGTGTAGGAGCAGAGACTATTTCTATTAAATAACTCCCAGAGAAAGGAAGAGCTCTACATGCAATAGAGCTTCCCCAGACTCTAGCGTTGCAGCATAAGCAAGCTCATGATATTCCCAGCCTAGGTAGAGGGCTTTGCATGTTCATCCTCTGAGGATCAAGAAAGCCGTGAATGGGCCGGGCGTTGGTGGCGCACGCCTTTAATCCCAGCACTCGGGAGGCAGAGGCAGGCGGATCTCGGTGAGTTCAAGACCAGCCTGGTCTACAGAGCGAGTTCCAGGACAGCCTCCAAAGCCACAGAGAAACCCTGTCTCAAAAAACCAAAAAAAAAAAAAAAAAAAAAAAAAGAGTACTGGTTGCTCTTGCAGCAGACCTGGATGGTTCCCAGCACCCACGTGACTGCTCACAACTTGCTATCACTGCAGTCCCTGGGGATATGGCATCCTTGGGTACCAATGAAAGTGGTGCACAGTTGCTTCCTTCCTATTGACTCTAGGAATTCCTAACCGGACCAAGTCATAGTGAGGCAATACTCTTTTTCCCTCAGACAAAGTTTTCTGGGCTCCCAGTCTCCTCATGGATCCTTTTTTTGGTATTTTAAAATGGAAGTTTGCTTGTTCCAAGATGACTCTGTCCAGTATCTCTAAGGTACAGGAAAGTTCTCAGGAATTTGAAGAGCTGGCGTTAGAGAACACCAACATTGACATTATTTTTCCCAGTCCCACCAAGAAACTGAGAGGTACAAGGTGTGGAGGGGGAGGGACTTTGAAGTGTAGCTGCTGTAGGTCATGCCCTGGAGGTAGAAGATGCCCTCAAGTCTCAGAGGCACTGTCGTAACTAGGATGCTTCTTCCAGAGAGGTCCATGCAAACCCTGGTCAGATGGAATTTCAACCAGTCAGATTTCAAAATGTGGCCTGCGTGCAAGAGTGGAAGAGCTGTTGCTCTCTGCAGACTTTGTCATGTGTGATCTGAGGGGAGCTGCACTACAGGGCTGGGAGACCACGCGGTTGGGTGGTTGCCCCTAACCCCAGCTCTATAGACTCTTCACCATCTGTAAGACCATTAAGATGAGTTTTGAAACAGGATCTTTCTATGTATTCCTGGCTATCATGCAACTCACTATATAGACCAGGATGGCATCAAGCTCAAGGAGAATCTCCTGTCTTTACCTCTGAGTGAGGGGATCAAACGTGTGTGCTATCATGCCATGCCCATTAAATTGATTTTTAAGGATCCCAGTACTGTGGGATACATTTACTTTTTACTTTATTTTTTCTTAAGAGGAGACAGTCATAATCTTCACTGGATTTCACAAAGGTTAGTGTCTTAGTTTATTTTCCGTTGCTATAATAAAACACCGAATATTGGGCATTTCACAAAAACAGAGGGTTATTTAGCTTATTGTTCTGGAAGCTGAGAAGTCCAAGAGTATGGCACCTTGCTTTTGCTTGGTATCTGGTATGGAATGTCTTGCTACAATGTGTCACGGCAGAGGACATCATGGGAGAAGACAGAACACGCAAGTCTGAGAAAGCTTGCTTTTGTAAGAAAAGCACTTCCTCCATAACATTAATTCACCAATCTTCATGCATACATAGGAATTTAGACATTCAAGTGTCAATGTATGAAATTTGAAGGATGCATTCAAGCTGCGGAAGGTAGGTGAGAAGTCTGAGACTTAGCCCCTGAGTTCTTCCCACTCATCATCCAGTCTGGCCTTGTTGGGTGATGACTGAGGCTCCTCTTGGCTTTGTGGGTCAACACTGTAGTCAGGTGGGAGCTCTTCTGTGTCTGAAGACACTGAACAGCAACTGGAATTTACAAAAGGTCATTTCAAATTGTTTAACTTTCCCTGTGCCCTTGGTCTCTGAGGAAGAAGTTCTCACCTTAGTCTCAGCCAAACTTTTGTCTTTTGTTCTTTCTACCCAGCATGCCTCAGGGTGAGTGACATAGTAAGCTAATTAAGGCTTTACTGTGTCAGACAGCCTGGGGTCATCCCTGCTGGCTGACCTTGGACAACAGCTCATCTCTCTAAACTTTACCTTACTCCCCTGTAAGTGGGGGTGATGGCAGGGTCCACTTCATGAGATTATGGGGATTATGGGATTAATACAGAAAGAAATTCTATGAGATCTTTAGTCAGTCAGTTAAACGCTCTTTTGTGTTCCATGTTCTCTTCCCTCATATCTTCAGCTTAGTTGGAAAATCTGGATGTTGTCCTCGTGACCTTGGGGCTCAACCTATTTCTCCTGAGAGTATTTTATAGCTAGATTCTGCTCCGTTTTATTGGACCATGTCTCAAGGTTCCTGCTGGGTCATAAGTTGTCTGTTCAGGTCCTTTATGTCTTCACAACCAAGGTGACTCAGGCCCTTCTTGGCTCTCCATGCTGTACAGAAGCTTTTTAATGGCTCAGGTCCCTACCCTCAGGCTCTTCTCTGCCCACTCCCACTGCTACCGGAGAGTTCTCTACAAGGCAGGCCCAGGCAGGTCCCACTCCTGTGCGCTCTCCAGCTGCAGTCCCTGTCAACTGCAGTCCCTGTCAACAGGACAGTCAACCTCGCTTCTCTTTGGTTCCCTGTGCCTGTTGTCTTTTTTTCCCCTTGTGCAGATTTTTTTCTTCCTTCCAACTTAGCTTTTGTCTAGGTGAGCTGTGGAACTCACCTGTTTATACTTGTCTGTAGGCAGAGATTTTCTGTCCTGCAGCCTCTCTCAAATAATCACTCAGAGGCTTAATATTAATTACACATGTTCGACTCATAAGCTAGGCTTATTGCTAACCATCTCTTACAACTTAAATAGCCATTTCTATTCATCTGTGTGCCACGTAGCTACCGACTTTACCTTTTCTCCAACATGTCTTGCTCCCTCTGAATTTCCTGGCAACTCTTCTGACTCCGCCCTTCTTCATCCCAGCATTCCCTCTGTCTCAGGCTGTCTCACCCAATCTCTTCCTGCCCAGCTATTGACCAATCAGCCTTTTATTAGCAATGAGAGCAATGCATATTTACAATGTTACAGAAGGATTATTCCAAAGCACTTGTCCTGAGCAGGTGACCTCTGGCAGAGCATCACCAGGGACTCTGTCATATCATTGCCAGGGAAAACATCTGCCTCTTCCTGAGCTTCCTAACTGGCCCTCTTAGTTTCCCATTTAACACGCATTTCAATCCTGTGTTTACACACCTGTCTCTTCTATGAACCTCAAGTCTCCCCTGCTCAAGGACAAAGGGTACCTTCTGTGTCCCTGACACCTTGCTTGGAAGGAAAATGGCAAGGGCCATAAAGTGAGAGGCTGACAACTTGTTATTTGGGTCACAGCTGGGGCCCTGGTAAGACAGGAATTACCTCCCCACCCACAGGACATAAGGCCCACGATGGATTGTGAGCTGGTCACATAGGAAATAATTCCATCAATAGCCTGCAGAATACAGAGAGTTGGGAGAGAGAGTAGATGAAGTGACCTGGACAAGTGACCACTTCCCTGATGGTAGTAGGAGTAGCTCATTCCTCTGATTTGGCTGAGGGGGCATAATCAGGTATAGATCAGTCCCTAGTCCAGCCTGTGATGGGTTCAAAATGGCCAATCACAATAAAGATTGTGCAGTGAAGTGTTCATCTAATGTGACCTCTGGGATGGTAAGAGTGGTGATTGGTGTCTTTGGTGTTGTTCATTGTCTGTACCCTCGCTCCCTGAGTTATGTTCATCAAGGGCTGAGGACGCCTCTTTAGAAGCCAGATTTGGCCACCCATCTCCAGTTAAAGACAATTAATCGTGAAAAGCAGAAAGAAAAGAGACTTATTGGGAGGAGGAGCATAAGGGCCCAGTGAGCCCTAAGACAGTAAGTTCTCAGCCTGTGGGGCTCCACCTCCTAAGACAGTAAGTTCTCAGCCTGTGGGGCTCCACCTCCTAAGACAGTAAGTTCTCAGCCTGTGGGGCTCGACCCCTTTGGGACTTGCATGTCAGATATCCTGCATGTAAGATACTTATATTACAGCTCATAACGCTGACAAAATTACAGGTATGAAGTAGCAATGAAATGCATTTATGGTTGGGATCATCGCCACAACATGAGGAACTGTGTTAAAGGGCTGCAGCATTAGGAAGGGTGAGAACCATTAAGTCATCTCCAGGGTCCCAGCACGGAGTTTAAGTTTAAATAGAAGACAGGAGTGTATAGCTAAGCAATCCTAGTCAAGGTGTGGGCCATCATATCTCCGTTGTCTAGACTCTAGTCTTTCCCACAGGGTGATCTGACATGTCAGAACAGATTTCTCCTGGAGACAAGCTCTCCCTTTGGTTGGCAGTAGGCTTCTAGTCTTTTCCTTTCTGCATGGGTTTCAGGGGGCAAGTCCAATTCTTTGGAGACTGTTGTTTCTGTAGTCTGATAGGCAAAGGGAAGGGCCCAAGTGTCTCTTGCAGACTTCAGCAGGTGACCCTTGAACTCAGATCTACACCAATCATCACTCTTACCATCCCGGAGGTCACATCCTTGGAGTTGCCCAGCCTTTAATTCTTGCTGTAGTGCCCTGGTACAACACTTTGTCCTGAGCCCCCAATACCATGAGCTAAGGAAACATTTCCCCCTTACATTTGCTGCCTA